ATAAATAAACTGACAAACAGAGGGTGTAGTCGCCACATTGCCACTGACAGAAAACATTTTTCACCAATGCAGAAAGACGGTCAGCTTCAGTGTTAAACATTCAAAAGCAATAACATTTATTTTCAACAGCTCATATATTTTCAATTTAAAATTATATTCTATTGTTAAACTTTAATAATATTTTATGTTGGAACAGAATAATTACTGATCATCATTATAGTTGCATTAGGTATATTTTGACTGAGTTCTCATATACAATTACCATACTGTTTTCAGATATTCAATTTTTTGCATCCAAAACATAAAAGAAAAAAAACTTTTTCAGAAACAAAAAAAAACACCAACAGTGAAATCCTACTTACTGGCACAAAAATAACCTCTACCTTATTTAATAGTGAATTTTAGTTCAATACACTAAACTCCTGATGCTAATACAAATTATTATTTCACCAAAAAACTATTTATTTTAGCTTCACAAGTTTTACACAGTTTGCAACTTCCATCTTTATTTTTTTCAGTAATATTCATGCAAAAGATCAGTATCACTTTATTGGTGCATATATAAGACTAAAGTCTGTCACGATAAATTTTGCTGGATGATAAACCGTCTCAGAAAAGATCACGAYAAACGATATTGTTTGTAAATCATTTTAAACTATATATATGAAGATTATTTTACCTCATTTTAATTTATCGTGCAATTAACTGATTAATTTATCACGACAGGCCTAATAAGACATTTACAATATTTAAACAAAGATTCATTTCTCCTGACTAAATGTGTGAACCTTTCTTTGGACGATTTATGGAGGTTGAAAAAACACAAAAGCATTTTTAGGTTGGCGTCTGCTTTACATCTGCTTGCCACCGTGTCTAAGTAACAACTGTTGTTCACTTTTTATTTACTCAGAGGCAGAAGAAACATATTATCATTAGAAACAGAGATATAATTACTGGTTTATGAAACAGCATCCATCTCCTTATGCAAAATCTTATTTTCCCCATATTTATGACTCTGATTCAGAATACCAAATGTTATAAAAATTACGCACATTTGCTTTCAGACTAATAGTGGTTTGTCACTCCCTGTGTGTGTTGTAACTCGCCCCTTCATGTAAACATGGTTGTGTTTGCTTGTAAAAAACAAACACACACACCTACACACACACACACACACACATCATGATTGACTTCCGTGTGAACCATTCTTACCTTGCACAACTCCCCAGGGGTACTGCCTGGCCCTCACTGATTTGTTCCCAACTTTGACCTCTTCCACGCTTCCAACCACAGCAAATGGCAGATGGGCCTGCACAAAAAATAAAAAATAAAAAGTTTTTATTGCTTTGAAAAGAAAAAGGTCAAGGATTTTAACTCAGGATTTAACCAGGTCTCCATTCATGATATATTGCATCCTTTATATTATTTTTCCTGCTTTCTTCATTCTTGTCTAATTAAATTACTGTATTTATTCATGTATAATACGATCTCATGTATAATACGACCCCCACTTTTTTGAGCTTAAAAAGCATAAAAAATTTAATCCTCAAACTACCTTCAATTTCATACAGACTTCAAGATTTTTCAGCCTTTGCAGTCTTTATACATATCAGTAAAATGATCATTGGACTGTTCATTTTATTTTAACAACATATGTACTAAAAGGTATTTTGATAACAAATATATAATCAGCTGTAGCAGCATCATATGAATTCTGGCATTTTACACATAGTCCACCAGGAGGAGTCAACACAAAAGTCAGAGACTTCACTTGAGATTTGGACCAACTTCTGGGGCAAAAGCAGATTACTTCCTACTCGCGAGCGCCCCCTCTGGTGGGGAAATTTTTTTCAGGGATACAAACTTTTTCAGAACACCGGTAGACGGCAGCCATTGCAGATGAACGTGTTTGTTGTTGTTCAAGGAGTGGCTCGGTCACACGCTAATGTCATTAGTTCGTTATCATTACTAAGGTGCAGGACTGCTTTCCCCCTTTTTTTCACACCATATCGCCTGCCTGGATCTGTTATTATCTCGCTCTGAAGTATGGAGGAGTGTCAGAGGTAAGCTTGTTTCAACWGCTTTTTACGACAYGGTCTCATTTCCGGATGCAGGCATTTTGTGAATGAAGCCGATATTTCGGTTAAAATACATAAGTAAAAATATTTATCCGAGTATAGTACTACCCCCCAACTTTATGGATGATTTCATGGGTTAAATTTTACGTATTATACTTGAATAAATATGGTAATTATTTTTCRCAGCCAGACAAAACCAAAACATGTACTGGTAGCCATGTTTACATAAGCAGTACTGGAACTGGTAAATGGCTCGGATGTAGTTTAAAGGGGCTATATCATGTAAAATCAACTTTTTTGAGTTTTATATCATGTCCTCTCATCAAAAACATGCCCAGAGTCTTACTTTGACTCATTCATGCATGTCTGAGAAATCCTGTGGTGTCCTGAGGCAGCCTGGCAGAGGAGCAAAAAAAGGTGACATGGATACTACTACATTATCGTATAGAATTTAAATATATTCCTGAGAAACACATAACCTTGCCCCTTTAAAGCCTTGTTTAATTAATGATAAACACAAACACTTTYTTCCTTTCATAGGTACCACACCTCTTTAGGGCTGACATCATGTAGAAAACATGTCTGTATGCTACCTCAGAAAATGGCMTGGTGAGTTGCAGTTTGAAGCTGAGGGGAACAAGCTGCTGTGTGTGGTCACTAATGGAACAGACTATAAATAGATCAGGATACTGTACAAGCAAGATGCCAGGGTAAATTAAGTGCCATCTCGTATGCCGTTTGTATACTTATATATGAGAGGGTGTGTGTAAACACTGAATACACAGCATTAAACAGAGAAGACTAAAAAGGCTAATTATTCTAAAATAAATTGTTTTGTGCTTCCTGCTTGAGCAAATGATCTTGTATTTTCAAACATTCTTAGCATTTGTTCTTTTTTCCAGTACAATTTGTTGTTTTTTGGAGTGTAGCAAAAATTGACTTACGTTCATTGAGGCATTGATCTCGCTGACGGCTTCGTCGTCTGTTGGGAACTGATATATCTGGACTCCATTGCTCACAAGCTCGCTCATTATCTTTATTTTGAATTTATGCAGCTCGCTCTTGGAAATTGTGTCTGCTTTGGCAATGATGGGAATTATGTTGACCTAAAGGAGGACAGCAAACAAGAGAAGTTAGAAAGTAAAATAGGAGAAGAATTATTTAATTATGGTTGAGACAGTGGTGGGGGGAGGGGCTTGGCATTTCGAAAGCTGCTCTGTGTTTAAAATACACATGAATGTTTAATGTTTCAGGGATCTAGTTCTTCCAGATTTAGTGTGCAACACTTCATCTCATGACAAACACTGTTGACAGAACAAAACTTGTCTGTGAGGTTTTTAAATATGAGAGATGATATGCTTTTAATGAACTGAATGTTCTCACACATTACAGCAATCCTTTTAGTTACCAAATCATTACAAATCACTTTGACAATTTACTTCACTTTGTTTTATATCACATCACAGGGGTGGGAGGGGCTTAGTTAATTATGGGAATAAACAGTTATCAGAAATTTAATTTGAATTGTTCAAATGGAATCTGTATTTGAAATAAAATGCATTGTTTAAAACGAATTTCATAGTTAAGACAGTTCACGAGTACAGTTATAAAAACTGTCATTAGCAGAATGCATTAAAGGGAACGATTGGCTCTAGAAAATATTTATATAGGAAAATCAGCCGTGAATCAAATCTGTGCATTCTCATTCTAGTCATACRTTGAGATAAATATTCAGTTAAGAACCACACAATGAACAGACAAATCTATTAAAAAATCAATTTAAAAAATATCTGATGTTTCTTTTAGGTTTTGTAAATAAAATAAAACAAAGTGTCAAAAGTTGAAATTGAATTAAATGAAGCATACAGAGTTAATATGGCTGTGATAGCATACCAAACCAAAAGCAGCAAACTTGAACAGTGAATTATTTTAGTCAGAACATCAAGAATGCTCATAAAGCAAAGTAATTAAAGAAAGCCAACATGGCTCTATCTATGATCAGCAACAGATGTGCAAAAATAAACACTCTGTTTGCTTTTCACCATACAGCTGCTTTACTAAAAATCACCAAACAGAAAGACGGGGGGTGACGCCCACAGAGCTGCTCATCAATTTCACAGTGTGCCTGAGAGCAAAAGCCAGCGCTCATTAAGAGTCGAATTACAACCTCATCATACTTTACTGGATCATTAATCTGCAGCCGAGCAGCTGGCATCATGTTTTAACCCTTATTTAACAAGCCATGTTCACTGATCACTGCTAACTACAGCCATGTACAGTATGGCTACTGAGGCAGATGAATAAGTGTGTGGTTGGACATGGTCACTCAGGCAGCTGTGTGGACTGTTTTTTGTTCATTTCCCACAGCAACATTTTCCCTGAGGTCACCCCAAAATAGTTCTGTTTACTGTGAACAACTAAGACCACCAGCTGTAAACACATTCAAGTAGTTCAGATGTAAATTAATCAATGGAAAAAAATTAAAATGACCTCATCTACAGTTTGTGACACTTCAACTGTGTCCCCATTCAAGGGTTGCAGCCCAAACATACTGTGGCTGTCCGTGTAGGCTGCATAAGACGTCTGTGAAATGAGTCGAGTCTTCGGATGACAGACGTATGCATGACCACGCGCTGGCCCGCTACCATGGTGTTACGTTTATCACATACTTCACTTGGAACATGTATTCATACATCTTTTCATGGGACTTATAACTTCACAAAATTCATTATTTAAAAAAACGTTACATGTAAGTAAATAAATAAAAAAAACATTACGCTAATGATTTGGGTTTAGCTCTGGCATTGGTAATTGTATTTTATTTAACATCTCATTGCAGCAAAGGTTTCATCACTTAAGTTGCCAACTTACATTTAAAAAGTTAATTATTGGGTCTGTGATTTCCAAACTCTGAAGTAAATAAACAAGAAAAACACAACTCAGCTGTTTTTTCTGTTTAGTTTGCTGAMAGTGCAATGAATCCTGGGAYATCGCTGGCTGTGTAGGATTCTCAGATGCAGCCTTCGTTTTCGGGAGCGTCACCCCCCGTCTTTCTTACATAGTCACCAAAATTGCTGTCCATGACTTGGTACAGCCTACGGYGTGGCACAGTGACGTAAACAGCTGACAAATGTGCCCTACATGGACTGCAGCCCTTGAATTGTCTCATACATGAGTTGAATCAATAGTGTACAGAGAACAGTGGCTATACAACATTGGTACGTTCTCAGTCTTAGTAGTGTCAAAACTACTAAAGGAGACCAATTATGGGTCCTAGAAATTTTTATGGTATGTCTGTGGGCTATCCAGACCATGTTCATTCAATTTAATGCACAAAATTATTCTCAGCTAATAAAGTTTCCCATTTTCTAGTTCTGCCTGCTCTGACTTCCGTTCAGAAGAGCTGTTTATGTTAATGAGCTCTGTTGGTAACGCCCTCCAAAAATCTGTTGACATTAACTCCGCCCTCCAAAAATCTGTTGACATTAACTCCGCCCTCCAAGGCCAGCGTTTACGTTAGCATGGCTAATAATAGCAAAAGCTCCGTTGTACAACCGTAAGAGACCCAGAGGCAGAGTCGTGGTCGCAGCTTTGTTTTTCCTCTCCCTCCTCTGCTCTGCGCTCACTCTGCATGCCGTTACCAGAGCAGGGAGCAGCAGCGGTCAAAATACCTCGGAAACTCGAACAAATAGGCTTTAACAAGGCTTTAATAAGCTAACCATGAGAAAACGTGTTCATAACGAACAAAAATTAAAYTGTGTCCATGCCGGTCTCGAAGCCTGGTCTCCTGCTCTATGGTCCAACACTCTGCCCATTGCCCTATTGGAGGCTTGTTGTGAAATGAGCTGCACATTGCATAATAACAACTGTGACGGCTTTTTATACTGAGAGGGTGGAGCTTCACCCGGGTTTACAAGGTGAGGGGCTGAACGCAGGTTCCGGTGGGTTGTCGTACGGCTTGTGACATCACAA